ATATGTAAGGAGGGACAAACCTCAAGATGTTCTTGATAATTAAAAAAATATTAATACGTTGATGGAATTTAATTATGGGGGAAAATAGACATATTTGTTGTTTTATTTTTTCACAGAACCACAGAATGGTTTGGGTTGGAAGGGAAATTAAGGATCATTTTTTCCCACCCCCTGCCACAGTCAGGAACACCTTCCACTATCCCAGGTTGCTCCAACCTGGCCTTGGACACTTCCAGGGGTCCAGGGGCAGCCACGGCTGCTGTTGACACTAAATGAATTTTAGTGCTGTAATATTTCAATTCTAGGTGTGAAGAGCAAAAAAAGCAAGAAATCCTCTAAAGCTGTTAAAAAAAAAATCCTCAGGAATTTTCCTGTATTTCCATTTTTCTGAGGAGTGGATGGAGCTCAGAGCTCTGGGGTTCATTTCCAACTTTCCCCCCGACTGCAATGAAGCCTCCAACCAAACCTCTCATTAGTCTCATTATTATTTTCACTCTGCTAAATAAAGCAGTGGTGCTACTCCCAGTTAATAAGAGGCAGTCAGGGTCCCTTTCATGCCTGTCACTTGTCTCCCTGCTCTTTGCAACACAAAAATAGCAGGTGGGAAAAAAAATTAACCCCCTTTTTGCTCCACTAACTCTCTATTTTTATCCTTTCTTTCATGGTTCTCTGCTTTTTATGGCTGCTGCTGATCCAGAAGTGCTCCTTCATCCAGCAAAAAGCCTCACAACTGGAGTTCCTGCTTGGTGCCTGCTTCTGGAATTCCCTTCCTGGCACAGAGTTGCAGGAAAAACACGCAGTAAGTTGTTTGCTGGAATACTGGGATGGGCTGAAACTGTAGTTTATAAATTGTGGTGTGTGCTGTTAAAACATCCCACACAACCCTCAGTACCTCCAACCATCCAACCCGGCCTTGAACCCTTCCAGGGATGTGGCAGCTTCTTTGGGCAACCTGGAATTTCTCCATGCCTTTGTAACTTTCCTACTTTTCCCCCCCTCCAATTTTCCTTTGCCCACCCATCTTTCTAATTCCATTATTTCCTATAACGTTTTCTCATTCATTTGATGTATTATTTTTTAAAATTAAACTAGAAATATATTTTTTTCTATTAAGCCAGTCTCTGTCAAAGGGATGTCCAAAAGGAATAATATCTGAGAGTTATTGAAAATTAAGGAATGCTGAACTGATATGAAATCCTTTTATTTTGGAGATTGCTCTGGTGGTTGGGGTGTTAAACTGGATGGAATTAAACCTTATAATTGATTAGATTTTTCACTCTCTTCAAGTGATCCTTAATCCAGGAAGTCTGAAGTCAAATGAAGGGTACAGGAATTCCCAGTAACTCCTGTTCTTCATAAAGTGCTGTGATTTAATAATGTGTTTCCAGTTTTACTACTGGGAAAGCAGTTTCCACATGCTGGAGACCAGGAACACCATAGATTTTTACTTTCATTCCCTCTGTAGGACTGGAAAATTCAGTCTTATAATTTAGACTTCTCATTCAGTCTTCAGGCTCTGCGTATCTGCAGAACATTATTAAATGTTGTTAATTATGTCACTAATTCCATGTGAAACCAAGGACTGTTTGGGCATGTAGGAACCCAAACCTTCCATTTGCAATAGGACTATAAACCACCAATAGCTCAAGATATGTCTCCAAGGTGTGTCATCATTGAATCTTCCACCAAATGAGTCAATTTGGAAGAGTTTTGGAGCTTAAAACTTTCAAAACTCAGTATTTTTGGTCGTGTTTCTTTGATAGAAACTCCAATATCCTCGACATTGATTTTTGAGCTCTTTCTTGCTGCTGTCACACATGGCTGGGTCACGTGGAGCTTCTCATCCACCAACACCCCCAAATCCTTCTTTTCAGAGCTACTCCAACATCCAGCCCCAATTCCACAAGCCCTAAGGTTAATGATTTAGGTTTTGCCTTCCAAAAATCTTGGTTTAATCCTGGAGGTTGTTGAAAATCAGTGGTGTCCCTTCAGGACCCACCTGCAATCACTGAGCTGCTCTTGGAGGAGCACCAAGTGCTGGGTGCTCCTGGCAAAGCTTCAACAGAGATATAAATGTGACCAAAACTGGCAGAAGGCTCTCAAAAGAGGACATAACAAAATTTAATTTAGGCAGATGTTATATTTGATGCTTTGGGGGACTATAAATAGTTATGCTTAATAGGAGAGTTACTGTTCTGAGACACAGATGCCAAGTCCAGCCTTGGGCCTGGACTAGTCTGGGTCATGATGGACACAGAGAATGAAATGACAGTCCCAGTTTAGCTCTTTTCCCAGTGTTTATGGGGAATTTGAGGAATCCTTTCTAGCAGTGCTGAGCAGCTGCTGCTTGCACAAGAATCAGCTTTCATCTCCCCCAGCCATGAACTGATGGTTCATCAACCACTGCAAGAAAGAGATGAATAAAAGCAAGAGATGAATAAAAGCCATTGAATGCTGGCACAGAAGCCAAGGGCTGCACTGGAGATATGTTAAATACTAATGGGTTTCATGTCTGGCCAATTAGGAAGTGTCTGAAGATGTGTGAAAATCTAAATCTATTTTTATATCGTGCCCAAAGGCAGAGCCCCAGCATTTATGGCCCCCAAAAAAATCCCTGAAGGAACAGATGCCAGTCACTCACTCACCATAAGGATCTGCTCACAACAGAGCTGGTGTTGCCCTCTGTGAACATTAATGCTTTCATGTAATATTTTAAATTAATGAATTAATAATGGCTATTAATAGCTGGCCTTTGATGCTTCGGGATTCCCCAGTCTGGCTTGGCTGAGACACCAGGGCACTCACTGGGCTGCTGTGGTTTAATTGCTGCTCAGGACCTGCCTCCAACATCACATGTCAGGGCTCAGACTCTCAGCAAAGGGATGCACGTGATGCCTGGATCCTCCTCAGGAGGAGAAAGAAATGCCTTTCACAGTGAATTACACAGCTTTTTTTGCGCTTGACATCAATTATTTCGTTAATCCTCCACTCTGTACGGGACTCTTAAAACGCTTCACAATTTGTTTCAGAGCTGACATAATTTTATGAGTTGTTTTAACAATGGGTTTGACACACAAAGGGTTTGAAATAACCCTGTGCATGCACACACAGGCAGGGAGGTGTTCCCTGCTCTGGGTACCGGTGGAGAGAGTTGGAATAAATTGATTCATCTAAACCCCTGAAAATCAGACATTTTGACCTCATAATCTCCCTACAGGAACACAGGGCTTTTGTAGCCTTCCCAAGACTTACAGCCCTTCTAATCCTCGCACTGTGTTGGGATTTCTTGCCTGTCCTGTCAAACTTTTCATCCCCCTGATGTCGTCTCACAGCCCTGCTGCTCCTTTTCTCTTCTCTAAGCTCCTTGTTTTGGTATCATTGATTCACTGGGATGATTCACCAGCACTGAAAGCACCAGACAGGTCATTCTGTTCCTATTAATGGTATTTGTGGGGATAAATGTGGAAATAATTAGGTATGTGTAATTAAATCCTGTGTGTCAGGTGAGGGTTTTTTGGTCTGATGGATGATTTGAGTAGAGTCAGGAGCTCTGTCCCAGGCTGTCCACCCTCTGTTGGCAAAGCTCAGTGTCTGTTCCACTCTTCTAACCATGTTTTCTGCCCTGAAAAGGAGATTTCTTTCTCTACCCATTAATTTTTGGGGTAAGGCTGGCTACCACCTCCATCCAGAGAGGATCACTGTGGCCACCTGATGCAATCCAGGGAGATGCCCCTCCTTAAACTAAAAGAGGAGAGATTTAGATTAGATATTGGGAAGGAATTCCTGGCCATGAGGGTGGGGAGGCCCTGGCACAGGTTGCCCAGAGAAGCTGTGGCTGCCCCTGGATCCCTGGAAGTGTCCCAGGCCAGGTTGGATGGGGCTTGGAGCAGCCTGGGATGGTGGAAGGTGTCCCTGCCCATGGCAGGGGAGTGGGAAAAAACAATCCTTTATTTCCCTTCCCTTCCAACCCATTCTGTGATTCCATGATTCCTGGCTTGAGCAATTCCCTGTCTCTACCTGGGGCTGCCGTAGCTTCCTCCTCACACGGAATTCCCAGCTCCTGCTCTCTCCATCCCAGTGCTGCCTGCTCAGCACGGAGTTCTTGTCCTCCACACCCAGCCCTGACTAAGTTCTTACATCCAGAGCTGGGATCTGCCTGTCAGATCACCTGCCCCAGCAGCTCCTGGTCCAGCACCACCCCCAGCTCTGGTCCTGCAGCAGGGCAAGGACAGGGATCGTGTCCTGCCCATTCCAAGGTTTGTTCCTCAGTCCCTTAAAGGTTTTCCCAAACCTCTTTATTCGTTGCCTGCTCTTCTAGACCATTTCCCTCTTTCCCAGTCACTTTCCAAGTGCTCCCCCAGCCTTTATCTGACTTTTGGGATGCAAAAGGAGATCTGCCCTTGACCCTGAGTTAGGGCTCAATTACACACTATTTTTCAGGCAACACCCTAAGGAATCTTTAAAATTAATATTTATACCTTAGTAACCCTAAGAGAAAAAACATGGTCTTCTCCAAGAGGCTGTGTAGGTTAAAAAAAAGCAATTAATTCAAGAATTCTGACTTTGCAACCTTTACAGCAAGAGTGGTTGTATCAACAGAGCAACTCTTAGAAAGTTAAATTATACCCAGGAGTGTACACGTGGCAGTGCTCAAAACCCAGAGCACAAAACCACCTTTGGCCATGTCAGAGGACTGTTTGAGCGAGCTTGTTATTTTATAGATGCCGTTCCCATAAACATTGCAAGAGGAAGCAGGAGCAGCACGGAGCAGGAAAGACCTGCCCGAGCCCCTGCCCCTGATTTGTGTGCCGGGAGAGCAGTGGGAATGGGAGACAGGTTGTGGAGCTTCTCCCAAGAGCATTCCTGCCTTTATTAGCAGCTTCCAACTGGCAGCCGGAGCTGATTAAATAGTAATGCCTTTTTTATGAATCGTTGCTTAGACTGTTTTGAATACTTTCTGCATGACTAATTAACGACCCGAAATGATTTAAATTGCGCTGTTAAACTCCAGAACGTGCGAAACAAACGGCTCTTCTTCAATATTTTATCTAATCTCGGCAGTCGCAGGGACTGGGGAGGGGGTATTGCTTGTTATCTAAAAGCCACTTAAGTGAGCTAAAATGTGATGTCATGTTCTCTAAATACACGGAGGTATTTGTGCTCAGTCTGCCGAGACGCGGCCGTGACTGCGCGCTGTGATAAACCTAATTACGGCCTTTTTAACGATAACAAAAACCCGCTGGAAACTGGCAGGAGATGAAAACCTGCAGCCTCATCCGCGCAGTTTTGCTTGGCTAAAGCGTTCTGTAACATTATGCCGGGATAAACCGGAGTGATTCATCGCTGGAAAGACACTCCCAGCCGGAGCAGGGAGTTGGAACTCGCTCGCCGGTGACCCTCGGGAAGAGCAGCATCAGCCCCGCCGAGCGGGAAAAGCTGCTGGGAATAAGGTAACCCCGGAGCCAGGAGTGCTCGTGTTTCGTGGTTGAGGTGTTTGGGTCGCTCTTTGCTGCTCAGGATACGATTCCTCTCCCTTTTGGCTGCTAATTCCCTGCGCTTTTGAATTCCTGCTTATCCATAGATTATTTTTTTTCCTCCTCCCCCCTCGTCCCCCCCCGGAACAACGACGGGCTTGTGTAAGAGAGCGGGATAACAAACCTAATTGTTCGATGTGTATATAAACGCTTGAAATAATGCGGCATCTAATTTTTAATGAAGCATGAAGGAAAGCTTAGAGCTCAGCACAATCCCTGCCCGCCGGAGATCCTAATCTTCCCTTCCCAGCGCAGGAGAGTGCTCCATGAGCCGGCCCCGGGAGGGAGCCGAGCCCAGCCTGCAGCCCCGGCTCCCGCATCCCTGGGTCCCTCATCCCCGAATCCCGCATTCCTGGCTCCCGGGGTCCCCCGGCCGCCGAGGGCGCGATGGAAATTCCCTGAACGACCGGCTGGAAAATACGTGCTGCAAAGGTACATAAACCCTTCTCTCTAACCCTTTTCTTTATTGTTTTCTCTATTTTTCTCTCTTGTTTTCTCCATTGCTTCTCTATTGTCCTCTATTGTTTCTCTATTGTTTTCTCTATTGTTACGGAGGAAAAAAAGCCACTTTTTTTACTCGGAAAGTCACTCGGCTTGACACGTGCTTAGGAAAACAAACCGTGTCTGTGTCGGGTTAAAGGGAAAATGCCCTTTTTCGGCTCGTTCAGCCCTCGGACGGGTGATTCCAGCTGGATTTATGGACCATCGCTCCCTTCTTGGAGCAGAACCGGCCCCGCCTTTGCGAGCGGGTTTGGGGGCTTTCAGGGGGTTCCAGCCGAGCCCCCCGGGGGTTGGAGCCCTCCTTCCCCTCCAAATATCCCTCTTCTCCCCCCAGAGTCACTGGTTTGGAGGGTCCCAAACACAGGAGCGGGTTCTCCGGGTGCTGGAGGCGCTCCCGGGGCTGATCCTGCCCCGCTCCAGGCAGCAGACTCTGGGTGTGATTCTTATTTTTATTTTTATTTTTGAGAGCCCGCTCGGGAAAATGTAGTTCTTCACAAATCGTTTCCCGAGTAAAAGCAAATGGAATAATTGTTGTGAGTCTGTAAAAGAGAAATGTCACTGCTGCAAAAGGGCTTCCCGAGCTTCCCTCTTACTTAAAAAATATCACTGTAAAAAATCATGGAATGGTTTGGGTTGGAAGGGACCTTAAAGCTCATTTCATTCCATCTCCCTGCCATGGGCAGGAAAACTTCCACTAGATCATGTTGCTCAAAGCCCCATCCAGCCTAGCCTTTCATTGAATTAAATTAAAAATTAAATTAATTTCATGGATAAATAGTTGTGTTTCCAATTGTAGCCAGTGTCTGCGCTCTTTCTGGCTAAAATATACTTTTTTTTGGAGGGAACACTAACCATTTCTTAATTATAATTACATTCTGCAGCTGAACACTCAGTTGCATCACTTGCCAGTACAGTAAGCAGTACAATTTTTCATAAACCCACGTGATTTCTGTTATATTTTGTAAATTTTTATGTGGCAATAGATATGGAAACCTGCCCAAATTGTGGGACTGCCTGCAGGAATATCCCTTGTGTGTAATACAGTACGTTGTCAGGCGTGTGTTGGTTGATTTTTCCAGCATCAGGAGCCCAGACTGCACAGAAAGGCTCTGATTAATTTTTTTTTTATCACTTGAAAATTCATTGTCAGGCCAAGCCAGACACAGGGCTGATGCTTATCATGGACTATGAACTTCCAATGGGCAGAACTGGCAAAAATATGTATTTTCTGTTAAAAAAAAAATTATTATGTTGCATCAGAGATTTTGTTGTGTGGAAATTATTGTAACTAAGACAGATCCCAGTGTGGACGGGGTGGAAATCCCCACCTTCAGAACAACCTCTGGTGAATTTTTTCCTGCTTTTATTGCTGTGGAAATGCTGTTTGGCACCGAGATGGGAGTATCTGGATGGGTCAGAGCTCGGGGCCGGGGGTGGCAGGAGGTCGGGCTGGGTCTGCATCCCGATCCCGCTCCATGGCCATGGATGTCAGACCTGTGAGTTTGGTTTCCTGGTGTGGAAACACAACAGTGCCATCCTTTGTGTAATGAGTGCTCAAGGAAGGACAGGTGGAATGGAAACTTAGATATTCCTGCTCTGGTTGTGGTTAGGGATGAGCTTTCAGTGAGCGAGGAGGTGTCAGGATGAGGTTTCTCCGCTCGGCCGTGGAACAAGGTAAAAATCAACCGTGGGTGAAACACTCCCGGGTGGGTGATCACCAAAAGGGGCACAGTGATTTAGCTCATTAGCACTGCTCAGCTCAAATGATTCCCAACACTCCCCTGATTAGTTATGCAAACACCCAGGCCAGGCTTTGAATCGGGTTTGCCCTCGGGTCCAACCCTGCTGCCTCCGGACAGCCCCGGGAGGTGCCAGCAGGGAGGGAATCCGACCCTTCCAGTTTCCACTGGAGTTTTTTTAGGCCGGTGCTGACATAAAAACATGTGAAAAGCCATCCTGGCCGTGTTACAGTGGGAGATTTGTTCGCTGTAAATCTAAAACTTTATTTATGCGTCAGCGATCCGCCGGTTTAATTATTTGGCATCCGCGTGTCTGATCGTGAGTCTGATTTCCTCCGGTTCTCTGGTGTAAAAGGCAAAGTTTAAGTTACAATGGAGTTTGGAAATAGAATAAATTATTTTCTTTCAGTTCTGCTCATGAGTAGGGGTAGGAACCCAAGCCTGAATCTCACGATTTACCCAGTTAGGAACCGGATTGATCTGCAGTAAAAGAGTTTAAAATAATCACTGTACGTCCTTCAAGGTGTCATTCAGCCACCTTTGGGCCTGAGGGCAGTAAGTTATAACCCCCTCTCCTTTTCCTGGCCCCCAGGTTGCACCTTGTGTCTGTCAAATTGATGTGATGGAACGGGCAGAGCGAGTCAACGGGGTCAAGTGATACAACGGCCGCGCTTGGGCCAAGCAAACTCCGCAGGGGAGGGTGGAGTGTCTTGGGGAGCCTGATGGTTGGGTCCCATGGGGCTCAGTGAGACCTATTTAGTTAAAATGGACTCATTTGCCTCGAAAAACAAACTGTTATTTTAATCCTGGGGCGGCTGACGTTGTCCCTGGGTAAAAGGTGGCGTGTCCTGGTTGCTGATGGGGCAAGAAGAGATTTACTGAGTGACAACGGCACAAAGTCGGTGGGAAGGTGGAATTTCTGCTGGTTCTTTGGCACTCTGGATGGATTTTTACATTAGGCAACACTTTCTTGTGATGTAATTGGTGAGGAAGGACAAAAGTACAAATATATCTCATGTTTATGTCATTTATTTTTTAAATTATTTTGGGTTCAGCGATTTTTTTCGGAGGACGGGTCGGTTCGAACGACAAGACTCATCCGAAATCCTTCTTTCTGTTATAAAGTGGATAATTCCTCATAGTTTTCCTTAGATGCCCATTTTCCCCCTGGTGTGTTCTTTGTTGTGTGGTGTGACCTACTGAGAGAGGAGCGTGGTTCTTATCCCTCAGTCACCATATGTTCCCACAAATAATCATCGTTTTCCGTCAGTCCCAGTGTTTGGCCTGTTGTGTGTCCGCAGGACTTTGTTGTCTTTGGCAGAGTTTTTAGAAATTTGCTGTGGAAATTCTAATGGTTTCCACAGTAGGGATGGAGATCTGCAGGCAGCACTCCTCCATCACAGGAAATATATCATTAACTCCTCAAACATTGAATTTTGCATGCTAAATAAACCCATGATTTTGTAGGGTTCTAAAATAAATGCAATAATTTTCTTGCTTTTTTTTCCCCAGATAAAAGACATTTTAAGCAGCTTCTACTTGGGTATAAGTTGATTTTAGATCTGATATTCAGGTGGCAAAAAGGAAAAAGGCTTTCTCGTGGTTTTTTATTCTCAGGAGTGTTGTTCTCATGAGGAACTGCTTTACTGAGCCCATTTCAGTTGAGGCAACCGAGAGTTGAACCATTTGTTAAATGAATTCGGATTTACCTGCTTAGCAAAGGTAGAATTTTATATACACTAAAATCTGGGAATAGAGTTTGGTGTTCAGACAACAAGCCCCTGGTTTTGGGGAGCTGGTAAAATAAAAATCCTTGAGCCTGACCCAGTTTTAACAACAAATTCCCCACAATGTGCCTGGCTCCGAGGAGACCCAGTTCTGAGGAAGCTGCTTCCTTAAAAACTTGGGTCTTATCCCGGTTATCACTTGGCACGGGTTAAAAAAGGGAAAAATCCCGTATAAATGGAGTCACAATTTGTGCATTGCCCAGCTTTGTGCCTACGTGATCCCGGCTCAGACCCTTCTCCGGCGTTGCATGATTCCCTCTGAATCCACAATATTCCCATTTATTGGGTGGCAGCAGTGCCAAGGCATTAAGAGTGGGGCTCTCTCCCAAGGGATGCTGCAGATGCACGGCGGGAGCTGCACCTCGTGCCGGGACTTGGCTTTTGCTGGAATACCCGGAAAATTCTCCCTGGGAGCCTCAAAGTTAAAGATTGGGAAGTGCTTTGGATGAGGACATAAAACATCCCGTCTGCTCCTCCATCGGTGTGTGTTTCTGAGTAAGCTTTGGCAGGTTTTATATAAATGTAAATATATTTAAAAATTGATATAAATAGCTGAATATCCTATATATGCTAAAAATGACAGGAATCAACAGGAGGAATTAATTATAATTAAAATTTATTATTATATCTTTTATCCTTTTATGTGTCTCATTTATACAAACTATTTATAAGTATATAAAATTCGTGCATTCTATTTAAATTCCGAGCGGTTCATCTGCCTTTTAATTGTCTTCCTCTACGAGTGCCTTTCGTAGAATTACATAAATTACTGTCATCAAACTGTGCCTGCAATTACTTCATATCAGTCAACCCTCTGCTTTTGTTGTGTCTCTGCTTTCATCTCCTTAGCTGGGGTGCAGAGCAATTATGACTTGCAGGCAGGTGACTGGCTCCCAGTGGGATGATCCCTGTGGATACAGAAGGTATTTGCCTGGCAAAACGGGCATGGAAACATTTCAGCACCGGGCAGGTTGCAAAATTCCCGGGGTTTGGGCTGGGGAGGGTGTTTCCATGTGCCACGGGAAAGAAAAGTGTGTAAATTGATTATCAGACCGAATTATTCGGATTCAGGAATTAGTTACGGTGCAGTGAGTAAAATGACTCTGGGAAGCTGGAATTCAGGCAAACGGGGTGTTTTCCTGGTGTTTTGTATTCAGAAATGCTGGAGGCTGAATTGGAATCTTGTCTGATTTTGAGCTTATTAGCTCTGGCTGTGAAGTGCCCAAGAGCAATTTAAAAAAAAAAATCCTCAAAAATACCTTTTTTTTCAGAAAATTATCCGAACCGTTGCTCTCTTAGTGTCTATTTATTTTTTTATTAATTAATTGCATTCTCCTCCCTAAATACTTGGAAATCACTAACTCCAGTCCCTGTTCCCTTTCACTGTTACCGTTCCTTTATCCAT